TCGACTACCTAGTGTGTACCTGGGCTCTACATCTGTCTACCTGGCCTCTACCTGTATCTACCTGGCCTCTACTTCTGTCTACCTGGCCTCTACCTCTGTCTCCCTCTACCTCTGTCTACCTGGCCTCTACCTCTCCCGAATCTTTATTATTAACACTGTACTACTTATGGCGCCCTTACTTATAAAACTACAGGACCATTTAAGTCAACACTGTAACTCTCTGACTGTACTTATATATCCGCCACTTTTCACAATAACCTCTCATAAAAGTGACTTACATTTATCGCTAGTAAAGGTGAAAAGTGCATCGTGTCATTGAACGTGTCTCGTGCACAGTGAAAGTAATTGGTGAAGTGTGAGACAGAGAGAAAGAGAGAGACAGAGAGAGAAAAGAGAGAGTTTTAAGAGATGAATCGACCTTTTAACTTTGTACGTGATGAATAGAACAATCTCTCTCTCTCTCTCTCTCCCATTTGAGACAGACAATTACTCCCCTATTACACTTAATGTTTACTAAATGTGGTGGTTTGTAATTGGATGAGGTTGTAATAATGATAACATAACCTGGGTTTAATATAATTGTGCGTTGTCGTCTTAGTGGTGGTGTTATTCTCTTTATCTCTCTTTTGTCTTTCTTTATATTTTCTCTCCTCTTAGTATTGCATCTCTTTCTCCTCCTTCTCCACCCCACCCTCTTCCCCCCCACCCCACCCCTCCTCCTCCACACCCTCTTCCACCCCTCCACCCCCACCCCCTCCTCCTCCACACCCCCTCCACACCCCTCCACCCCTCCACCCCCTCCACACCCCTCCCACCCACCTCCTCCTCCACACCCCTCTTCCACACCCCCCTCCACCCCCACCCCCTCTCACCTCCCCCCCCCCTCCCACATCCCCCTCCCCCCCCTCCCACCCTCTTCCCCCACCCCCTCCACACCCACCCCTTCTTCAGGCAGTACAATACACACAAGCAGCTCGTAGACTCCCGGGGTTCTCCACACATTGTTTGTCTCCACACACACATGTTCTTGACTCACATGACGGGGTGGACGGAGCAGTGTGTGTGGGGACAGAGAATGGAAGGGCAAGCAGAGAGAGAGAGAGAGAGATAGAGAGAGAGAGGGCAAGGCAATAAATACCCTTATCATGTTTTCTGTGGCCCTCCATAGCCCCTTATACTGCAGAAGGTATCAGACGCAGTATAAGGTATAAGATGACTTTTAGAAATACACCCTTGAGTTGTTTATTTGTTTACATCTGAGGTCTTTGGTATACAAGTAAGGAATGACGTAAGAATACTGGACATGATCTATACATGTAGGGTCCTCGACGACATGAACCATCGTCAGGTTAGGTTAGGTTAATAAAGCCTGCTCATTAGCTTATGGTCACAACTGAGAGAAAGAGGAGGAAAGAGGAGATGGAGGTGGCAGAAAAAGTACCTGTGTTCAACTCCCACAGGTAGACAGACGCCAGGTGTATCGATTTATTACCTGTGAGATGAAGGGCACTCATTAATATAGTCTCAGAGATGAACAGGTGATAATAGGAACTCTTACCTCTTTCATCACTACACACACACACACACACACACACACACACACACACACACACACACACACACACACACACACACACACACACACACACACACAGACACACACACACACACACACACACACCATGATAGAATTTCAGGATAGGATTAGACCTTGAGGCACAAGGTCAGGCACCCCAGGTTATTTCAGCTGATGATTAAACACCCTTAACACTATTTGGGGTTTGGCTTAGGTTTAGGTTTAGTTTAGGTTTGGTTTGGTTTTTAGGTTTGGTTTGGCTTGGCTTGGGTTTGGTTTGGGTTTGGTTTAGGTTTGGTTTAGGTTTAGGTTAGGTTTGGGTTATGTTATGTATGGATTCTCAGGGTGGGTCAGAGGGAGAGAGATGGAGAATACGGAGAAAGGGTAAGAAAAGAGAGGGGGATAGATGGATAGATAGATAGATAGATGGATAGATAGATAGATAGATGAATAGATTGTTAAAGAGTTGTTGTAGTTGTTGTTGTTCTTGCTATTATTGTTATTGTTATTGTTGTTGTATCTCAGTATCCCCTTCTCGTCAGCTCTGTTACGGGGGGGGTGGGAGTGTGGGAGTGTGGGAGTGGTCGTCTGTAAAGATTATTATTGACACAGGATCGATGCCTTGTTTGAGTTCATTGAATAGTACTCTCTCTCTCTCTCTCTCTCTCTCTCTCTCTCTCTCTCATCATTATCTTTACGACTGAAACTTTAGTTTTTTCTTTAGGTCTTGTCTCAGCTTGCACGCTCTCAGGATGCCTCAGCTTGTAATATTTCCTCAGCTCTCAGAACGTGTTTACTTTCACTCAATGTCCCACTTTTTTCGTACTTAAATACTTCTAATACTGAATACTTATATTTTGTGGGTGTTTTGTATGTATGTGCTTGTGTGTGTGTTACTTATAAAATGTCACAAACGCAACACAAACTTCTATATAAAGACAAAACAAACAACAAATTTTCAGAAACACACACACACACACACACACACACACACACACACACACACACACACACACACACACACACACACACACACACACACACACACACACAACAGGTAGTGGTAGTACCTGGGAAGATAGAAGCATAATGTATTGACTAATGGTGACCCTGCTGCCATATGTGACCAAGTCCCAGGTTGATGATCTGACTTTCTGCCTCATTTACACACAATTGCAGGGTCTCAATTGTTTCTCTTCCTATTGACAACACAACATACATATATTGTTTCTCACTTTGAATCTGTTTTATCAATTTTTTTCTATTTCTGTATTTATTAATTTTCTTTATGGTGGTTTTTTGGGCTTCCCCCCCATCACTATTAAAAACAATGACAACAACAACAATAACAAGCCTCAAGTAATAGTTATTAAAGCGCATCAATAACATCAGTAACATCAATTACATCAATCACCGTAAAGTTATCAGAGCGCAGTATTACCTCACAACACGCGGACCACGAGCCGGATAAACGGACCACAGGCCGGATAAACTCCTCACTCAACACCGTCTTGAGCGTCACAACACGACAACTGATCCGTCGTGTTATCTAGCCTGTCGTGACGCCTCTGTTCGTGTCAAGGTCTAGGCTGGGGTCTGTCTGTCTGTCTGTCTGTCTGTCTGTCTGTCTGTCTGTCTGTCTGTCTGTCTGTCTAACTACATTATACATATTTGTCTGTCTATCCACCTGTACATGTATCTATCAAACACCTGTAGTAAACCTTCCCAAAAACAACTGTGTGTGTGTGTGAGAGAGTCCTATTGAAATCCTGTCTGCACGAGAGAGACACAAGAACAGTGGCGACCTTTTACAACAGCCCTGGACACCACACTGGACCGTCTCCTCATCAGGCATAACGGAGAACACCTTCTTGAGTCACCTACCTACACCCCCCCTCCCCCCCTCCTTCCCTCACCTCTCACTTCATGTCTCCCTCTTACATGTCTCATATCCCCCTCACCCCACCTCATGTCTACCCTCTTACCTCATGTCTCCCCTCCTCTTACCTCACCCCCTCACTTCATGTCTCACCCCTCACCTGCCCCTCCCCACCACCCGAGTCTCCTGCTAGTTGAGATGACCGAGATGACTTGGAACTGAACTGGAGGTTAGGTTAGGTTAGGTTAGTTTTCTATATATCAAGTTTGTGTTTATATTAACTACTAACTATGACGTACAGCACACACACACACACACACACACACACACACACACACACACACACACACACACACACACACACACACACACACACACACACACACACACTCCCAACTATGACTCATTTAACCTATATAAATATCAAACCACAAATGAACCTCAGAATTCAATGATAAATTAAAAAAAAAATAATAATAATCGCTTTTCACAACGTCTTCTCTTTCATCTATTTGGTTCGTGTTAACCTTTTCAGCCCCGAGCGACCGAGTGGCTGGCAGTTGTGTTGGACTGCGCGTTGACGTCTGAGGAAAAATGTATTGTCATGGTGAGGAAAAAAAAGGGTGAGATGAGAGAAAGAATAGGAAGAATGAAATAGAGAATGAAGAGGAGAGAATGGGGAGGAGGAGAGAGAAAGGTGAGGAATAATGGTAAGGAGGGAGAGATGAAGGAATGGGCGGAATAGAAAGAGATAAGAGAGAAAGAATAGGGAGGAGGGAGAGGGTGAGAAGAGAGTAAGAATAGAAGGGGAATAGAAAATAGAGAGAAAGTAGGGAGAAAGAAGGGAAGGAAAAGAGATACATAGAGAGAAGAATGGGACGCAGAGTGAGGAATAGAGAGAAAAAGCCATCGACAGAGAGCGAGAGAGCAGCTGCCGTGTTATAAAGTAGCACTGCCCTGTTGCCTGAGGCTCAATCCTTGATTCTCACCAACTGAGGCTATCTACACTACCAATCATGTCAGACTATACTCATCCCTAATCCCCTAATCTATAGTTCTA